CGGTGTTAGCCATCGTTTGGACTGTCAAGAAGTTGGGCCACTACTTTCAGGCTCACCCGGTTCAGGTCCTCACTCATCAACCCCTCGGCGCCCTCATGAGGAGCCCCACCAGCTCCTCCCGCATGGTGAAGTGGGCTATCTTCTTGAGCCAGTACAACATTGACATCCGTCCAAGGCCTGCCATCAAGGGCCAAGCCCTGGCGGACTTTGTGACGGAATGTATCGCAAGGGCAGCCACGGACGGGGAGCCCTCGGCTACCTCGGACGACTGGTGGACCCTCTACACCGACGGCTCCTCTGCGACCAAAGCATGCGGGGGAGGGGTAGTTCTCATTACTCCTGAGGGCTTCAGAGCCTACTATGCAATCCGCTTCTCCTTCAAAGTCTCCAACATTGAGGCCGAATATGAGGCCCTCCTATGTGGCCTTCGGCTGGCTGCCAACATGAGGGCTCGGCAGATCCACATCAAACGTGACTCCAAGTTGGTCGTTGGCCAAATCTCCGAGGAATATGAGGCCAAGGAGGGAAGAATGAAACAATACAAGGAAGCGGCCAAGGAGTTGCTCAAGGTATTTGAGGCACACTCTCTCACTCAAATACCAAGGGCTCAGAACTCCGAGGCCGACATATTATCTAAGCTCTCGGCCGACTCCCCCGAGCACATCTCCAAAATTGCCAAAATTGAGGAACTCAGCCTCTCAAGTATCCATGCAAGCCCCGTTATGAACATACAACAACGCCAAGAGGATTGGATCTCAGATATCACCGCCTTCATCTCCACAGGGCAGCTACCCGAGAATGAGACCCGCGCTAAACTGGCAAAGCTGAGGGCTCCTAGCTACACCATCGAAGATGGAAGGCTCTACAAACGATCTTACAATGGCACGCTACTTCGATGCCTTCATCAAGATGAGGCCGAGGTCGCAATGGAGGAAGTGCACAGTGGCACTTGCTCAGCTCACCAGGGACCCTTCTCCATGTCCCGAAGGCTCATTCTCTAGGGCTACTTCTGGCCAACCATGGCCAGAGATTGTGCTGACCTTGCCCGGAGGTGCACCGCATGTCAACATTTCCAGAAAGCCCCCGGCATGCCAGCGGTCAACTATGCCCCCATCAGCACATCTGTCCCCTTTTCTCGATGGGGGATAGACCTTGTGGGCCCTCTGCCGAGGGGTACCTCCAACAACAGGTATATCATTGTGGCCATCGACTACTTTACCAAGTGGGTGGAGGCTGAGCCCCTCGCCAGTATCACAGAGGCGAAGTGCCGTCATTTTGTCCTCAAGAACATCCTCACAAGGTTTGGCGTCCCCCAGCAGATCATCTCCGACAATGGGACACAATTTGAGGCAGCCCCCTTCTGTGCCCTTCTGGAGGCATGGGGCATCAAACACACCTTCTCCTCCGTTGCCTACCCTCAAGGCAACGGGCAAGTAGAGAATGCCAACCGGACCTTGCTCGAGGGCCTCAAAAAGAAGCTGGAGGCCGAGGGCGGTGGTTGGGTGGAAGAACTCCACAACATCCTGTGGGCCTACCGCACCACCCCTCGGCGAGCAACAGGTGAAACACCCTTCTCCCTCTGCTACGGTTTTGAAGCCAAAGCTCCTACGGAAGTCACCCTTCCCACCCGAAGGGTGATCCAATATGACCCCGAGGTCAACGACAGCAACATGGCCCTCGACCTCCACCTCATTTCAGAACGCCGGGAGCAGGCCTTCATCCGGGCAGAAAACTACCGAAGGCAAGTCAAAAGCTACATCAACGCCAAAGTTCGCACCAGAGAATTCCAAGTGGGGGACTATGTCCTCCGGAGGAGGGAAGCCAGCCAACCAACCGAGGGAGGAAAAATGGCACCAAAATTCGAAGGCCCCTACATCATAGCAGCCATCATCAAACCCGGGACTTACAAGCTCAAACGCCCCAACGGGAAAGAGGTCCCTAGGCACTGGAATGTACACCATTTAGTTAAATTTTACCAATAATGTAAGAGCGGCCAAGCCCTCATAACTAATGAATGTACTATCCTATGGCCCAAGGCCTCCACTTTTAAGGAATGAAGACACATTCAAGACACCACGCCCTCATACTGACTACAGGCCCCAGGCCTCACCACAAGAAGAACCCCCTCCGGCACTAAGTGCCGAGGGCGGACACTGTCAACACCTACAACAACAGGAGAACACCATGTGTTTTCAAACAAGACCCCTCGGTACCCAGTGTCGAGGGTACATCCCCACCTTCAACATCAATATCGAAAAGATGAGAACACCAAGTGTTCCTACAGAAGACCCTTCGGCACCCAGTACCGAGGGTACACCTCCATCACCAACATCAAAATGAAGAAAAACACCAAATGTTTCAAAGAAGACCCCTCGGCACCCAGTGCCAGGGATATGCTCTCCTATCAACTTCCAAACATCTGTTGGAAAACACCAAGTGTTTCCTCCGAGGGCCCTCCGGCACCAAACACTCCAATCTAAACACCAAGTGTTTCATTTGAAGACCCTTCGGTGCCAAGTACCGAGGGTAGACACCTCCATCAACTGCAACAAAAGAGAACACTAAGTGTTCCTACAGAAGACCCCTCGGTACCAAGTACCGGGGGCTACATATCGAAACTAATACCAAGTGTTGTTTCTAAAAGCCGTACCCCACGAGGACGCATATACCGAAGGCGCCACCATCGGTGCCGGCGGCACGTAGTGCCCCCGGCCATTTGCAACTAGTGTGCAAATGAAAACCCTTCCTTGAAACGCTTTCCGCGTCACTACCCCCAGGGTATGACAGGCATGAGAAATGCCCAGGATTCGACTTTCAAAAACGGAACGCTATCCGCGTCATCACCCAAGGGTATGACAAGCACGAGAAATGCCCAGGATTCGACTTCCAAACCGAAACGCTCCCTGCGCCACCACCCCAAGGATGTGGCAGGCCACGGACTATGTCTAGCGCTGAGGGGACGACTTTCAAAAATGAGGCGCTTTCCGCGCCATCCCCCAAGGGGAGGCAGGTTACAGACCACCATATCTTGTGCCCAGGAAACGACCCTCGATCCCCTCGGAACTCGGAAGGTTAACCCGAGGGAGGAGAGCCATTGGTGTATTCTGATGGTCTCCTAATAGGCCCAGCCTTACCAAGAAACCAAGTTTCTTGATGTCTTCCCTTCACCACCAACCAAAAAAAGGGGGGGGGGGGGGGTGAAGGGGAGTAGACTCAGCGAGAAATCAAAGAGTACACTCCAACAGATCACAACATGCCGAGGGCTCCCCACGGGAACACCTCCGGTAATTGAGGGCTCCTATTTCCCGAAGGATACTACTCAAACAAAGATCATCAAGAAACGGCTAAGTCCACTGCCTGGTCACCTCCGGTCACACAAGCACCGAAGGCTTCAACAATACAAAGGGACGGGACTATCCAAAGTCCACTAAACGGTACTTCAAACACCGAAGGCATCTGTTATGCACTAATACCGAGGGCCCCTACCCCATTACAAGGGACACAACTGGCTGAGTCAAACTCTACAACTTTTCAGAGTGTATGCCGAGGGCACACACTCATCATTGGCTTTCTTCACAACAACAGGATTCCACACTTTTCCTAAGTCCACATTTTTGAAAAATGACGGCAACCGGAGGCTAATATATCACCAGACAACCGAAGGCATATATTACAAATCACCAAAAGCCAAACGAGGGGGACTATCCAAAATATTTGCCCCTCAGACAGACTCCACACTGACCGAAGGTTCAACATCTACGACACTTTGTGAAATTTTGCTTAGCCCCACATATTTGGCCCTCGTCCAAAGACTCATACAACACAAGGGCCTCACGATCACCCAAAGGGTCCTATTCATATACCCGGAGGGATCTACATCCGGAAGCTCAACATCAATTTACGCTTAGAAAATATTCTAAGTCCTAAATGAGTAACCCCCAGGCATCTCGCAAAAGTGATGCAGAGTCAGAGGGCACCTATCACCCGAAGGCGACACAAGGAAGCAGCACTTGAAAAAAATTCTAAGTCCTAAAGATCGGGCCCCCGGCCCAATCAATGTTACAGCCAAGGGAATATGATAGCCGAAGGCTATGCGATACAACAACACTTGCTAAAAAAAAAAATTCTAAGTCCTGAGGATGGGCCCCCGGCTCAATCAATATTACAGCTAAATGAATATGACAGTCGAAGGCTATACATCAAGAAGGGATGCCATATCCCGAAGGCTCCCAAGGGAAAATCTACACTTAGAAGATTTTCTAAGTCCTACATATTTTTCCCCCGGTCAACTACTCATACATCAAGAAGGGATGCCATCTCCCGAAGGCTCCCAAGGGAAAATCTGCACTTAGGAATCTTTCTAAGTCCTACATATTTCACCCTCATCTCAAGGGACCTAATAGCCGAAGGCTACCTATCAATCGAAGGCTACAGTACACAAGAAATCAACACTGAGGAAAATTTTCTAAGTCCTAAAGAATTGGCCCCCGGCCTAATCAATATTTCAGTCGGGGCTCCACAGTAGCCGAAGGCTACATGACATACTACACTTGCAAAAAATTTCTAAAACCTGTACATTGGGCCCTCGGTCCAATATTCACACATCAGGAAGGAGGCTACCAGCCAAGGGCATCCGAGGGCAAAACTACACCTGGAAATTTTTCTAAGTCCTAGGAATTGGGTTCTCAACCTAATCACCACACAGCAATTGAACTACAAACACCCGAAGGCCCTATGGTGTGTTACACTTAGAAAAATTTTCTAAGTCCTAATTATTGCTGAACCCTCGGTTGTATATCCAGCAGAGGGTGCCCAACTACCGAAGGCTTCCAAGGGAAAGCTACAATCAGAAAATATTCTAAGTCCTAAAACATACATTCAAAGGAGCAAAGGCATACATCCAAAACGAGACGAAGGCATACATTCAAGAAGAAATGAATTAAGGAAAACAAGCCATATATACAAAGCCCGAAGGCAATCATTCAATCATCGCAAAAAAGGGTAAATGTAATTGTTACAAAGGTGGCCGAGGCCGAAAACATACTAGTGTGACTATTACAAAGAGTTCAAAATACTGAGTACAAATTACACATCAAACAACGTTATTCCCGGGGGCCGCTTCTTCCGCAAGCTTCGAGATGACCTCCGCATCAGCCTCTGCTTCATCGCCCTCGACCTCTTTCAGGAGTTCCGAATCCTCCAGTTCCGGCCTCTCGACGCCCTCGGGGAGGAGGACTCTGATATCAGGCTGGAGGGGGGGAGACCGTACGCCGCCGGGTTGAAGGCCGTTGACTCTATCTTCAGGTGTCGGGCGAGCCTCCTGTAGATCAGGGCCTGGGTGAAGAACTCCCCCTCGGCGTAGTAATCTTCGCCCTTTCGGGCTAGCCACATCGCCCCGGGGCCCTTCACCCACCCCTCGGCAGAACTATCCATGACCGAGGCCACCCAGTCTTTATGGCCTTCGGCCTTCCAGCCCTCGGTCATGAAGGCAGCAACTGCAGCAGTGGCGGCCTCTGCTTTGGCGGCCTCGGAATCTTCAAGGGCCTTCTTCGCAGCCTCGGCAGCCGCCTTCTCTATCTCCACCCTCTCCCGGGAGGCTCTCTCTGCTTCCGCCCTCGCCTGCTGGAGGTCCCTCTCCAGTTGAGCCATCTGCCTCATGGCCTCAGCGTTATCGTGGATGAGCTTCTTGAGGGACTCTTCCTGTTGCGCCCTCTGGAGGCGCCATTCGTCGAATCTCCTGGCGTGTTCGCCGAGGGCTATGCAAGCCTGTTTAGACAAACAACAAAGTTATGATCACACAAACAGATAAAGTCATGGGCCACAAGGCTAATGAAAAAAGAAAGAAGAAGAGAGGAAGGAGGAGAACTTACGGTAAGAGAGGACCGGAGGATTTTGGACTCGAGGGCTTCGTCATCCAGCTTCCCGAGGGCCCGCCTGTCTAGAGCGGGTGTATCCCCGCCAAGAAATTCCCGGGGGTCCACTGTGCCATGCGTGATGGCAGACCCCTTCGGCAGGGAGAACTGTATGTCCTCCCGAGGCAAGCTTACCTCGCCACCTTTACTCGAGGGCGGGCAAGGAGCAGTCGGAGCACTGGGTTCCGAGGCAGAATGCTCGTCCACCACCAACACCAAGGGAGCCTTCTTCCCGGCGTCCCCCTTCTTTTGTTTCTTCCCCTCGGGGACTGGGGCCTTGCCGGCGGCCTTTCGTTTTGCGGCCTCCCCCGAGGGCTCACCGCCTTTCTTCGTCTCCCCGAGGGGCTTCTGCTTTGCGGGCTCCTTCTGGCCCGACACCTTCGCCTTCTGTTTTTTGAGGTTGGCGAAGGCGTTGAGATCCATCTTGACACCTGCAAAAACAATATGGAGTTAAGATCGAGGGGTCACTAACAGATAGCACAAAAAAGAAACGAACAAGCACATGGACTATCTGCTAAGACATAAAATAAGGGTGCCCTCAGCCACTACCTCCGGAGGCTCCCTCGAATGCCGGGAACTTCTCATATGTCTCCCCCAGGAAGCGATACCGCCTGAACCCGAGGGTGTAGAGATCCTCCTCCTTGGTGCACTCCTTAATGGTGATGTTTTTGTCCCGGCCCTCCGGGATCTTGGCCAGGATCCTGCCGTCTTTCTCGAGGGCGGCGCTCCTCCTCTTCTCATGCCTCCTAAACCGGTCACGCAATTCCCTCGGGAAGGGGCTCTCGGTCAGCCTCACGTAGCACCACCGGTCTTTCCACCCTTTGTTCGAGGAGGGCGCCTCGGTAAAGAGCTTGAAGAGGGCCACCTGCTGTAAGTTGGCGAAGCCCTCGGCATTCGCGTGCCCCCCCGGCACAAATTAAAGCTCTTGAAGAAGAGGTCCAGGCTAGGCGTCACCCCCCGGGACTTGCAGAGCTGGAGGAAGCCAGTAATATAGGAATGGCTATTCGGGGTCAGCTGGCAGGGGACCAGACCCACGAACCGAAGGTACTCCCGGAGGAAAGGGTGCAGGGGGAAGCGGAGCCCCATGGACACCGAGAGAACATGCACCGCTATACAGCCCTCGGGAGCCCGGGAGAGGACGTCATCTGGACCCGGTGTCACCACGATGGCCGAGGGGCCCACATGTAGTTGAGTGACGTAGATGTCCGCCGCATCAGCCTTCAACCTTATCTCCAAGGCGGCGGTGTTCAAATATGAATACCCCTCGGGCATATCGAGGGGCTTCCCTTGGTCTGCTACGCTGCCCTTCTTCTTGGGAGCAGCGGCCTTGGCCTTCTTCTTTCCGGGGGCCACCCGGATGGGAACCGCATTCAGCAGCAAAGAGGTGCTGGCCTCACCGACCCCCCGAGGGGGGAGCACAGCAACGGTGACCCCCACGCTTTCTCTTTGTGCCTCCTCTTCAGCTGCTTGCCAGGTTAGGGCCAACTCTTCGTCCTCACATTCTTGCTCGAAGCCCTCGGCTTCCGCCTCAGCTACGAGGGCTTTCTGCAACTCCAGGGCAACAACGGCATCCTGTCCCACCGAAGACTGTGCACTTGAGGACTCCACGTCCGAGAGGACTTCATCCTCCATCGAGGGCGCCCCCGAGATGTCTTGAGAATCACTCTGGGACGACATTCTGACTCTAGTTCGAAGGCTGTAGACGCTAGTGTTTTCTAAATATTCTATCTCCTAGCCTAAGGGCACAATACAGGTAGCTAAGAGGTGAAGGGAAAGTGGAGAACTGACCTTAAGAACAGAGGATTCAACCGAGGGCTGCTGTTTCTCTCTCTAGAAAAATTGGCAGAGCTTCGCTAACAAGGTTTCGCACACGGAGGAATGCCTGGCCTTGGGGTATTTATAGGCGCTGGAATCCGGGCTTGGGCCCGGAAACCGGGCCTCCGGACGGACCGTCATCATTACGCACCGTGTTTTCACCCAACCGGTGACGCCGCCCACGGGCAGCCAACCGTCACGCGCCACGTGTACCCCCCCAACGGCTATATCCTGACGTTACATATTCCAACGACTATATTTCCAACGGCTATATTCTGGGAGCCCCCGGATTTTCTTACTTCACTCCACTTCATCAAGGAGAGCCTCCGGGTACACTTACACAGAGACGCCCCCGGTTTGTGCCCCACACAGCACATAACAGACGCCTTCGGGATCACTCCTTCAGAAACCCAGGGCTTCATATCAGGGCACCCCTCGGGGATTCCCCCTCAGCACTGCAAAACCAGGTAGCCCCCGGGGAGTCGCCTCATTGACGGATAGCCTACGGCACACAGGTAATGGGAACCCCCCGGGTATCTTCATCACCGACTAATCAACCAACAGTGGACCCCCCGATAACAACTCCACTGCTGCCCTCATCCATCAGGCCCTCGATCCCCAGGTTGAGGGGCTCCCCTTCGGCGTCCCCAGGACATCAACAGCAAGCCTTCGGCCAATCAACACATGAGCCCTCAGAAGAAGAAGAGCCTTCGGCATTACCGTTATTCTCCATTTTTGACCAAGGTTTCACATTTTCGATTCATCATTGGGGGAATTCGGTGCACTCTTTTTCCCTCATTAGGATTTTTTCCTACAGGGTTTTTTCTAATGAGGTTTTTAACGAGGCATCCCCCCAAAATGAAACGAAAAGCGTCAGCCTTCGGCCCACAACAGCAACGCAACTACTCTACTCCTTTTCACCACTTTACAAGTGCCTCAAGGAGTGGGGGACTGGAGGACCCCCTCGGGAAAATCATTAAATTACAAAATTAGTGAAATTCCAACAAACGACAAAGCAAGCCCTCAAGTCCCGACATGTGGGTAACTGAGGGACTGCCTTCGGCAGGGACATAAAAGCAACAACTCCTCACCAACTTCAGAGATCACGACAGGACAACATCAAAGGGCAAGCACAAATTACTCCTTTTCCCTCAAATACCTTTCGGCAAAAGGAGTGAGGGACTCCTGATGGAGTATATGGCCCGGGAACACCCGGCCCACAGACTCCTACTACTCCAGTAGAGGCCCAACAGGCCCAGAAGGCCCAACAGGCCCAAATCACGACGCCCAGAGTACCAAGCAGCCCGCAATACGCACCAGGGGTGCCTTCGGCCCCCTGGCCGAAGGCTCCAAACTATCACAGCATGGATATTTCGAATAAACAGAGGAACTGGGAGAAAACGGCGAAAAAAGTAGCCCTCGGCACCTGGAGCCCTCGGCACTCAGGGGTCCTCGGCACTAAGAGCCCTCGGCTAGTCCTCTGCAGCCGAGGGCACCTCTCCCGACATGATATCCGCCTCACATGCGTACAGATCACCGTACCCTGTACAGACGTCCCATCCAACAGCCGCATTAAATGCGGCCACATGCGGCTGCCAACGCCAACCAGTTGAGGTGACCCCTCGGCCAATAGGCGTTTGACACGTGTCCCTGCCTGGCATTTATTGCTACTATAAATAGCACCCCATTTCCCCATTTGTAACCACGCTGAAAACGCTCCACATTTATAATACACTCCCTCTCTCTACACTTACTTGCTCTGACTTCTCTCTAAGTTATTCCCAGCAATAACCCTCCGGATATATACCCCCGGGTAGACTATCCATCAGTGTTCACTCTGGTGTCTGTTGCTATGTCTGCCAATATGTATGGTATGATACCTTTTAATGGGAAAATTGATTTTGACATGTGGAAACAAAAGATCAAATGTGTTTTAATCCAGCAAAAGGTTTTCAGAGCTGTAAGTGAACTTTATTTGGATTTTGATGATAGTGCTAAGAAAGCTGAAATGAATAAAACTGCTTGCTCTACTATTTATCTTAACCTATCTGACTCTGTGCTTAGAAAGGTTGGTATCTTAGACTCTACTAAACAATTGTGGGATAAGTTAGATGATCTTTATACTGACACCTCTTTGCCTGGTAAACTGTTTTTGCTTGAAAAGTTCTTTCTGTTTAGGCTAGACCTAACCAAAGACATTGATGAAAACTTGGATGTTTTTAATAAATTGATCCAAAATATTAAACACTCTGGTGATAAGCATATTGATGATTATACTGCTGTTGTGTTGCTTAATGATATTCCTGATTCTTATAATGATGTTAAATCTGGTATTAAATATGGTAGGGATGATGTCACACCCGCACGGGTAGCTCAGTTGGTCGAGCGGTGGGAAAAATTGGACGTAGACCAAGGTTCGAATCCCGCAGCGACCAAAAGGGGGTTTTTAGAACCTGAAATAAGGCTGGCCCTCTGGTGCGCACGGGTAAAGGCCTACTGCCGCTTTGCCGACTGAGTCACCGTGATTTACTCCCCCACCATCTTGTTGGGTCGGGGTGGGGGGGGCCTTGGGGTTGGGGATTCAACCTTTTGGACGTAGAGATGATGTCACCCTAGATATTGTTGTGAATGGCCTTAAGAGTAAAGAGCTTGAGCTTAAACATAATAGGAGTACTTCTAGTCAATCCAAGGATTCTGGTGAGGCTATGTTTGTGAGGGGTAGATCTAAGAGTAGGTGTAAGAATCAGAAACAGGATGCCCAAGCTAAAAATAGTAACCAAAATGGTAAGAAGAGGAATAAGTCTAGAAAACGTGTGTGCTACAACTGTGTCCACTAGTAGAAAACAGGCTTATAGTGACACTTTGTTAGTTACACTTTTTAATAAAGTGTCACAAAAATACGACATATCTTTTTTACGATGTATATGTGTCATTAGTTTCTGACACAATAGTATCAATATCAGATAGTGACGTTCACACCCTATTTTAATTTCTTTTAACATTATTTTGTCATATTTTATCACCTAAAATTTTAACACCTAATAAATTTTAACAACATTCTCTCTTCATTCACTCTTTCTCGTCCTCCCGATGCTTGTGCAGCATCCATTGCCGCCGGCGGAGGGAATTGGACCCCGTGGAAGCTAAGAAGATGTCCTCTTATGCAACGGTGGTAAGGGAACCAGCCCCTGGCCATCGCCCGCACACCCAAAAGTGCTCCTTCTCCGACACGGGTAATCTGGGATCCTCTGGTACATACGATGGTTTCCGAGCAGTCTCGTTCTCAGATGCAGAATTACAGGTTCTTTCATCTCCCTTCCGATACGCCCTCATTGGGACCTTCCCCTCTGGACGCCCCCCCGTTGATTCGGACCGCCTTTAAGGCGTTAGGGTTCGCACAGCTGTGTACTTTTGACATAGATGGCCCAATTGCTAATTACTCCAGACATTCCGTTGCTAGATTTTGTATCGAACTTGATATCTCTCATGACCTTCCAAATAAAATTTGGATAGAAAATGGCAAAGATGGGGTTTTCCAGTATATTCAGTGCGAAAATCTACCTATTTTTTGCCTTTTCCTATTCTCGATTTGGCCATAATCATACTGGATGTCCTA